ATTTTGCATATTTTATGACTTGGCTTCAGAAAATATTTACATATGGAATGATCACATCTCTATATTTACATTTCAAAACCAGTCTTTGAGCTCCAGACTCTGATATTTGAGCATTTCATTTTTCCTTTTTTTTAACTTTATTTTTATTGTTGACACCATTACAGATATCCCCTTTTCCCCTCACTTTGTCCACCTCCAGGCAGCCTCTCAAGCCTCCTTCCCTCTGGCCTTCACCACACTGTTGTCTGTGCCTATGGGTTGTGCGTATATGTTCTTTAGCTAATCCCTTCAAGCATTTCACTTTTCCACTAGGATGTTTTATAGGCACCTCAAAATATGTCCAAACTAATCTCTTCACCTTCCTCAAAATATGTCCAAACTAATCTCTTGACCTTCCTCCCAAACCCATTTGAACTATCACCTACTCAGGGGTTTCACTCTTTCTTCTATCTGAACACACTCTCCACCTCTTTGCCTGACTAATGCCTCCTCTTCCATTACGTTTTTGCTTAAATGTCACTCCTTTAAAAGGCCTTGTTTAACCCTCTTAATGAAATTAGACTAATTTATAGTACCCTGTATTTTTCTTCAGAGCTCACATGACCATTTACAATTACATATATATTCGTGATCTTTCTGTTCATTTCTGACTTCTCCCTCCCTTTCTAGGTTAAAAGCACCGTCATCAACTCTCTCACCTCTTCAAGGCTGTTGAAAGTTTATTTTCTCATCTCAGTAAACAAATGAGGCCTATTCTGACCTCCTCCAGGGAATTTGAATCCTGCACTTCCTTCTCCCTTACTTTGCTCTGGTTTACCACCCTCCTCTCAATACTTATGGACCTCTAATGTTGTATACAATTTGCTTACTGAAATGTATTAATTTTTGTTTTTCTCCCCACACTAGAATGTAAGCTCTATAAAGATTTCTTGTCTTGAGCCCTGGCTGGCATAGCTCAGTGGATTGAGTGCGGGTTGTGAACCAAAGCATCACAGGTTTGATTCCCAGTCAGGGCACATACCTGGGCTGCAGGCCAGGTCCCCAGTGGGGGCCATGTGAAAGGCAGCCACACATTGATTCTCTCTCTCTCTCTCTCTCTCTCTCTCTCTCTCTCTCTCTCTCTTTCTCTTCCCTTCTCTAAAAATAAATAAATAAAATCTTTAAAAAGAAAAGATTTCTTGTCTCTTTTGTTCACTGATGTGTTCCAATCCCCACCACATGATAGGAATTCAATAAATATCTGTTGAATAAATGTGCCTGTTTTGCTCCACATTGTATTCCAAATGAATCCCTTTTTGTAGAATTAAAGTTTAGGTAATACAAAATCTAAGATGAAAAATGGAGCACAGCACCAAAAGCACACCGAGACTTTGTATTTTGTTTATGAATGATTGCTGAATGAAAGCTTTCAGATGAAAAAGCATTTAATTTGGAGTCTAGAATATGGTCCTCATCTTTAAAAAATTCTTTTGTTTGTCTTTTAAGCACTCAGTTAATATCTTTATTCTCTTTCTTCATATTCTAATATGTTTTAAAAGGTAGTAACACAAAGTGGAAGCTACATGAGAGGAAACACCACATCCATGTTCTTCCCTAGTGTCAGTTGATGTCTAGCCTCCTTTCTGGTACTTAGCTGTAGCTGAATAATTTAGGAATGAACTACCAACCTATCCAGTGAAGTAATGGCACAGGACATGAATGAAAAGCTAGACAGTGTCATGCAATAGTGGAAAAAGCTATAGGACTTGGATTCTTCAAGGGGGTGAGTTGTATTCCTGGCTCTACCATGTGACAAAATCAAAATCTAGCAACTTCCCTGAGCCTATCTGGTAAGTGAAGGGATGAAACTAGATGATCCAGTTTACAGTAACTTTACATAATGTAAGCTCATGAGGCCAGAAACTTCATGTGTCTTGTCCACTGGTGTGAAAACAAGGCTTAGATGAGATCAGTATGTCTGGCACACAGCAGGTCCTCAAGAATTTGTGGCAAAATGACAAAAAATTCCTTCCAGTGCTAACATTTTAATGGAAAAAATAAATTTGAGATATCCTAAATAAATTCTTTTCTTCTGGAGGAAATCCTAAGATTATCATCATCTTAAATAACCCCAGTGCATGGTGAAATACTACAAATAAAGACTAACTGCCTGTTTCTTACTGGTGAGTTGGTTACAGTTCTACATTTTCACTACAACCTCTTGGTTCTTTAATATTTATACCAATAATCATATTTGTATAATTGGCACTTTATTTGAAAGCTTTAGCTCTGGATCTGAGAGCACCAAATTCCTGAGAAACTATATATTTACACTGTACAATTTCTTACTGGTTTCAGTCTTGATGGCTGTCCTTCCCTGCCATTAAGTAGCTTCCAAGGTAGAAGGACCTCTTCCCATTTCCCAGGCCCTTCCTTCCTCACCCATCTTCTGCCTTCACCCCTCTCCCAAATTCCTGGCTTTCTTTCCTTAGGCGGGAAGAGGTTGGGGAGAGGTTGGCCCGGCGATCGGCGCCTCCTCGAAGCGCCGCCAGTTACTGGGACAGTTCGGCTTTGCAACCTACGCTAGAAATACGCTTTCGTGGCAGAAGAAAATCACCTTTTATACTGTATACTAGGGACTGCTCGTGGGGATTGAATCTATGTGTTTACATTTGTTTTCTGGCCCCGGAGCTGCTGTGAGAATTGATTGGTTCCATAGCGCCCCGAAAGCCAGGAGTCCGCTCCGCGTCCACCTCGGACCCCACCCCCTCGCGCGGCCATCTGCTACGCAGTTTGTCTCCGCGTCTCTCCGTCAGAACCTCTTTCCCCAACGCCACCACCCAGCTCCCAGCCCTCTCCGCCCCTTTCCCCTCCCCCAGCCCGGGGCTCCGAATCTTTCCCCGGCCGTTGCTAAGGAGACCAGCCGATACTAGGCAAATAGGCGTTCGAGAAAGGAAAGGGGGAGAAAGCTACACGGCAGCCTGGTAACAAAGGAGAAATACAAGTGGCCCCCAAATGGAGTGCTAAGGATGCGTCTGCGAGAAAATCCGAAAGCGAGCTAGCAATCAACCCAAGTTAAACGGGGTGGGGGGTTGCAGAAGAAGGGGCATGATTCACGTCGTGGGTAGGGGGAAACCAACAGCCTTAAGTGAGCTTTTGAGAGTCGCATGGATGGTGGTTATGGATCATCCCAGTCTGTTTTTCGAGTTGTAACCCCGCTAGTACAGGGGATTCGCGTCATCAAGGCGGCTGGGGTATTCGGCCAGGCCAGCGGACTCCTTTAAGGGTGATAACACTTTTGGCAAGATGCACTTCTACGGACACGTCTTTTCATCAGCTCTGGGGAATTTGACTTCGTAATTGAATGATGCATCTGAAGAAACTGTACAGAGAGAAGAGGAAGCTTCGTGTAAATATGCAGTTTGCTGGTTTTCAAAGCAATACTTGAACAAAGAGTTATTGGCTTGAACCAACCATCTTTTTCACTCAGAGCGTGACCCATTTCCCTACAATAAGCAGAAAATAAAACTGAGAACTCAGAGCCAGCAAGTACCTGGAGAAATGAACCATTCCTTCTACTGCTTCTCACCTCCATAAGCGAAAGATTTTCCATTTCAGGATCACTACAAGTAAACGAGAAAATGTGGTCTTGATTTGGACACGAGTGAAAACTTTGGAAGCAAAGATGTAGTTGGTAGGAGAATACTTACTTGGTTATACTAAGAATACTTAGTTGGCTGCAGCCTTGATTTTTGCCCCACCCCCTCCCCATTCTTTAAATCAGTGCCTTGTCTTTCACAGACAAATAGCGTCTGGTAGGTACTTCCATAGCAAGAGGTACAGATGTAAGTACCCTGTGTCCCTTTATAGAAGGAACCCTAACCCAAGTTACACTTGGAGGGTTCAGGGGTCTTTTTGCTATCTCTCAACATACAATTTTTTCCGTAGAACTGTAATTTTCAATCCGGTTGTTAGAATTTTATCGCTCCTGTCTCCCTCCTTTCCTGGAGTACACCCACTTGCATGCACATTCACACACGTTCAAAAATAAAGAATCCACCAGAGATCCTGGCACTAGGCTGAAAACAATTTATATCGATGGGAATTGCATCCCAACTTTAAATATGGGTTCGTATACTCGAGACTGTGTCTCTTTTCTCACCAGAGAGGAAAATTAATCGTCACTTTATACAGTAACAAAATGTGAGCCGTTCGGATCTTTTGTAAATGGCCCTCACTTTATATTCTGTGTGTGTGTCGGGGATGGAGAGGGAAAAAGGGATGGCAATCGCTAATTGGGAATTGTCAAGAGAAGTATTTGATGAGTGCCGCAGGCCAATCTCGAAATATTTTATTTCGTGCCAATGTGGGATAGGGAAGGGAGTGTGGCTTCGGCTGCTTGCCGCTTTTGCATTTTCCACATCTGGCCTACAGACCTAATTCTAACTCGCGATCTAGTTTGACGAAATTCGATCTTCGTGGTTTAAATACCTTTCAATTTGGGGCGATTTAACATTTGCAACCGTTAAAAAAAACAAACCCTGTGTAGTATCTGTGAAACCAATATGGACTACGGAGAAAGAAAACATGCTGCACCCAAATCCCAACCATTGTCTTTATCACACACACACACGTACACATAAACACGGGGGGAGGTGGGGGAGGGAAGCAACTGGACAGAGACAGCCACGGATATAGACCGACCAGAGTCAAAGCGAGTCAAGTTAATGCTTTCTCCGCCCCCATCCACAAGTACACCCCTCCTGCGTTAATTAATTACAAACAAAGCAAGCCAATCAAGTGATGTATTATTATTTTTAGCAGAGGTAGTCGAGAGCCATGTATTTTTAACTGATTTATTCATTTGGAAGACATTAATTCTTGGTCTGAGGCTGATTTTCAAACCGCTTGCAAAGCGCGGCTCCATTGTTCGCCCGGCGAGCAGGCCCCGCCCCCTGCTTTGTGTGCGGCGCGCGGATTGGCCGGCGCGAGCGGGGGCCGCGTCAGCGCCCGCGAGCCCATTCATCTGTGCACTTGGGCGTTGGACCCCGCATCTTATTAGCAACCAGGGAGATTTCTCCATTTTCCTCTTGTCTACAGTGCGGCTACAAATCTGGGATTTTTTTATTACTTATTTTTTTAAAAAACTACACTTGGGCTCCCTTTTTTGTGCTCGACTTTTCCACCCTTTCCCCTCCCTCCTGCGCTGCTGCTTTTTGATCTCTTCGACTAAAATTTTTTTATCCGGAGTGTATTTAATCGGTTCTGTTCCGTCCTCTTCACCACCCCCACTCCCCCCTCCCTCCGGAGTGTGTGCTGCTGCCGCTGCCGCCGCTGCTGCCGCCGCTACTGCTGCTCACCCCGTCGTTACACCAACCCGAGGCTCTTTGTTCCCCCCTTGGATCTGTTGAGTTTCTTTGTTGAAGAAGCCAGCATGGGTGCCCAGTTCTCCAAGACCGCTGCGAAGGGAGAAGCCACCGCGGAGAGGCCCGGGGAGGCAGCTGTGGCCTCGTCGCCTTCCAAAGCGAATGGGCAGGTAAATTCTACCTGTGATACTGGTTATTTCTTTGGTGCCTTTCTCTAGCCCGACGCTTACCCTTTCCTCCTGGTCGCTCCCGAGGCGCATTCGGCGAAGTGGAGCGTGGCTGGATTCCAGTCTTAAAGTTGAATGGAAAGCGATAGCTTAAATTGTCAATTCCTCATAGGAGAGGTTTCCCCCACCCCCCCAAGAAGTGGTTCCCAGAGAATCCTTGTGTAGTCGGGAGGGAAGAAGTGATAAATCGTCTAAAATGGCGTGTTTGGAGCTTGGCAGAACGTGACTAGCTAGATGCCACCCCCCACCCCCATCCCTGCCACCCCCAGCCAGGTTGCATTTGTGTTTTGGTAGGCACAAAGGTGTTTGGGTGGCTCTAGTGTTTGTTGTCGAGACTGAGTCGCCTTCAAGATTTCTGGTGTGATTGTGTATATGGGTAGGGAAAGTGGGGGTGGGGGGCGCGCTATAGGATGGCGGTGGAGAAAGGCGACGAGGGAAGTGCTGTCTTATTGTATGCCGAGGCGGCGTGCCCCGGGTTCTTGGAAAGGCGGCTGGCTGGAGCTAGGCAAAGGTGTCTTTCCATTGGGTTTTCCCACTGTTATGAGTCTTTATTCACTGCTGTCTGTGGAATTACACACCCACTTGGTTTTTAAATGGTGTCCCTAGGATGGGAAGACTGTGAGTCCTTGAAGAATCTGTCCAGGTAGTCAAGAAAAGGCAATTCGTGTGTTTCAGTCTTTATTGTTCGTTCGTGTGCGTGGCTCCTAGACCACGGCGGGGGCCGTCCCAGCGTTGTCCAGACCTAGGCGGATGGCTACGGTTCGGTGGGCGCGAGAGGTCGGCCATGGGTGGCTGCTTCGCAAACACTGCGTACCCACCACGCCTCTTTTCCTAGAGCCTTGTTGCTTTTCCTGCTCTAACCTATTGGGGAAGACAAGCTCTGCCAAGAAGCTTTGAACCCGTTAAAAATGCAAAATAAGCCGCACCCCGGCTTCGCAGAATCACGGGCGAAGGTGGGCGTGGAAGTAAGGGAAATATCTTAGAAATTCTGACCAGGGTGCCAGGAAGCCACCTGAGCTTTGTCTAAGGACTCTTCGGCTGCGCGATCCGGGATCGGGGGCGCCTCAGCCCCGCGGGCTGGGCCAGGCTGGGCAGGGCCCGGTGGCCCGGCGGGCCCCGCCCCTCCGGGCTTGCCTCGGGCGCTCAGCTCCGCGCGGTGGAGGCCCAGCGCCCCCTGCCGACTCCAAGCCCTAGGCGGGCGTAGGACCTTCGCGCGCGCAGCCAGGGGTTAGTTTCTGGCTAGAGCGCCGATTCCCCCTGGGAGTTCTTGGGTATCTTCCACAGCCCTTTGGAGTTTAGGGAGAAAGGAGATGTGTAATCTAGACCATTGCCGCAGGCTCTCCCTTCTTCCAAAGGGCGTTTGGTGTATCATGTATAATTTGGCTCCTTTCCACCAAAGCCCGTGAGACCAGGGCTGGAATGGGTTACCCTTTGCTTTCACGTTTTGGACTCGGCCTTTTTAAATCCGTAGGGCATTTGTCCGGTAGTTGACGTTACTTCTGTGACTTTAGAGCGCCCGAAATGGCACTGCACCCATTTCTTTCTCGAGTTCTTGTCTGAGCATCCAACCCCGCCTCCTCACAAGAAGGGGAGATGCGGCTCCAAAGCCAGATGGGCCCCGGGAGGAACCTGGTTCTTCCCAGTCCATGGATGGGGTGGGAATGGCGGAGCCCCGGCCGCTTCAGTGACGCTCCCGCTTTTTCTGCCCCGCAGGAAAATGGCCACGTGAAGGTAAACGGCGACGCTTCTCCCGCGGCCGCCGAGCCCGGTGCCAAGGAGGAGCTGCAGGCCAACGGCAGCGCTCCCGCCGCCGACAAGGAGGAGCCCGCGGCCGCCGGTAGCGGGGCGGCCTCGCCCTCCACCGCGGAGAAAGAGGAGCCGGCGGCCGCCCCCGAGGCCGGGGCCAGCCCGGCGGAGAAGGAGGCCCCCTCGGAGGGAGAGGCCGCCGAGCCCGGCTCGCCCACGGCCGCAGAGGGGGAAGCCGCGTCGGCTGCCTCCTCGACGTCTTCGCCCAAGGCCGAGGATGGGGCCACGCCCTCGCCCAGCAACGAGACCCCGAAAAAAAAAAAGAAGCGCTTTTCCTTCAAGAAATCTTTCAAGTTGAGCGGCTTCTCCTTCAAGAAGAACAAAAAAGAGGTGGGAGAGAGCGGTGAGGCCGAGGGCGCAGCTGGTGCCTCCGCCGAAGGCGGCAAAGACGAGGCCACTGGGGGCGCCGCTTCGGCCGCCGCAGAGGCGGGCGCGGCCCCCGGGGAGCCGGCGGGGGCGCCGGGCGAGGAGGCCACGGCGGGCGAGGAGGGGGCGGCTGGTGGCGACCCACAGGAGGCAAAACCCGAGGAGGCCACCGTCGCACCCGAGAAGCCGCCGGCCAGCGAGGAGGCCAAGGCCGTCGAGGAGCCCACCAAGGCCGAGGAGAAGGCAGAGGAGGCTGGGGCCAGCGCCGCCGCCTGCGAGGCGCCCTCTGCCGCCGGGCCCGGCGCGACCCCGGAGCAGGAGGCTACCCCGGCGGAGGAGGCCGCGGCCGCGGGGGTCTCAGCCTCATCAGCCTGTGCAGCCCCCTCACAGGAGGCCCAGCCCGAGTGCAGTCCAGAAGCCCCCCCAGCGGAGGCGGCAGAGTAAAAGGGCAAGATATTTTGAGATAATCGAAGAACTTTTCTCCCCCGGTTTGTTTGTTGGAGTGGTGCCAGGTACTGGTTTTGGAGAACTTGTCTACAACCAGGGATTGATTTTAAAGATGTCTCTTTTTGTTTTGTTTTGGGTTTTTTTTTTGTTTTTCTTTGTTTTAAGCAGCAAAAATTTTTCCCCCTCCCCACAGATCCCATCTCAGATCATTCTGTTACCACCATTCCAACAGGTCGAGGAGAGCTTAAACAACTTCCTCTGCCTTGTTTCTCTTATTTTTGTTTTTTGCATCAGTATTAATGTTTTTTGCATACTTTGCATCTTTATTCAAAAATGTAAACTTTCTTTGTCAATCTATGGACATGCCCATATATATATGAAGGAGATGGGTGGGTCAAAAAAAAAGGGATATCCGATGAAGTGATAGGGGCCACAATGGGGAAATTTAAGTGGTACATAGCATTGCCAAGATAATGTGCCACTACAAATGATGGTGTAAAGGCTTAGTCTTATTCTTTTTTTTTTTTTTTAAGAAAAGTTATTAGGATGTATTTTGTGAGGCAGGTTTACAACACTACAAGTCTTGACTAAGAAGGAAAGAGAAGAAAAAAACACCAATACCCAGATTTTTAAAAAGATCATAGTCTTAGGAGTTCATTTAAACCATAGGAACTTTTCACTTATCTCATGTTAGCTGTACCAGTCAGTGATTAAGTAGAACTACAAGTTGTATAGGCTTATTGTTTATTGCTGGTTTATGACCTTAATAAAGTGTAATTATGTATTACCAGCAGGGTGTTTTTAACTGTGACTATTGTATAAAAACAAATCTTGATATCCAGAAGCACATGAAGTTTGCAACTTTCCACCCTGCCCATTTTTGTAAAACTGCAGTCATCTTGGACCTTTTAAACACAAATTTTAAACTCAACCAAGCTGTGATAAGTGGAATGGTTACTGTTTATACTGTGGTATGTTTTTGATTACAGCAGACAATGCTTTCTTTTCCAGTTGTCTTTGAGAATAACGGAAAAATTCTTCAGATGCAATGGTTTTGTGTAGCATCTTGTCTATCATGTTTTGTAAATACTGGAGAAGCTTTGACCAATTTGACTTAGAGATGGAATGTAACTTTGCTTACAAAAATTGCTATTAAACTCCTGCTTAAGGTGTTCTAATTTTCTGTGAGCACACTAAAAGCGAAAAATAAATGTGAATAAAATGTACAAATTTGTTGTGTTTCTTTATGTTTGATAAAATACTGAGACTTCTAGGTCTTAGAATAATTTTGAGGAAGATCTTGCATGCCATCAAACAGTAAATTATCTTGTGGTTTTTAATCTGAAGTTTCAAAGAAATTAATAATCAGCAGTGTCAGATTACATACAGGAAGATCTTAAAACATTCCATGTCAAATGTTACCATTTATCTGCATTTACATTAGTTTTCATTTAAAAATTGAAAAATTATTTTTATTGTAGTTACATAGCATGTCAGAATAAGTCATTTAATACAAAAGCAATGAGACCCAAAGACAATTTAAATGTCTGTGAAAATTTCATAAAACTAATTTTTTTGTCATGCAGATCTAGAAACTTAAACTGATGATGCCTGAGTTTATTTAATTCAAACTGCAGATGGGTCATGAAAAGTAGCCAAATGTGTTTCAAAAATTGATGCTGTCTTAAACCTGCCATTGTAATTACTTAATGCTTGGCTAATTTCCAAATTATTGCCTAGATTGTGTGTTATACCTTAGGAAAACAGGCTTATGTGAAGAAGTAATGGTGATGAATGGATGACATTGTCAGTTTATGGGCCTTTAGTACTTGCCTCAATTCAGTAATTGTAAGCAGTTTTTAAAAAAATGAAAGTAGTGCATTAGCATCTTGTTACTCAAAGGAAAAGGTAGATAATAATACTTCCTTATATAGTAATAATCCTTACTAGTTTACCTTCTTTGTTCTTTACCATCCCTCCCATAACTGGATTTCTTTTCTTTACTGTACCCTAAGCTCAGTTGAATTTTAAGATAAAGGTGTGTATCAAATAACATTACTTAAATACAAAGAAAATGGGTTCCCCCACACCTGCTTTACTGTTTCTGAGCAGCGTGCCCTGCAGGGTTCACAGTGAGTCGGTGAGCCACATTTGGACCACCTGCATGCCAAATCTTAAACTCAACAAATGAGCTTTTGAAATGTGCTTTTAATTGGAGTAATGAATCAAATAAGAGTTCGTGACCCCTCCTTATCAAACACCCTCCTCATTAATAAAATCACAATGTTTGGAAGAGTGTGTACTTCATGTGAAGAGAGTTTCTTCATCTTGGAGGATGTTTGAAAGTTCAGAGTCAAATCTGGTAACCAAAGGACTACTACTTTTTCTCAGATACCTGCTTGGCTAAGTACAGTGCCTGGTATGTGATAGGATTCAGAAAAAAATGGATTTAAAACGTAACTCTTGAGTACTCAGAAATACTGTGTTGCCAACTATATTGCTAGGTTTGTTCTTTTAACAGCTGGAGTTTATTAAGATGCATTATTTTGATTTTAATCATTGCCTAAAAACACTTTGGGTGGTATTGATGGAGTGGTGGGTTTTCCACCAAGTGATTAAATGAGATTTGACATATATCTTTTCATCCAAAGTTTTGTACATCACATTGTTTTCTAATGGAAAAATGTTAATATGGCTTTTTGTATTACTAAAAATAGCTTTGAGATTAAGGAAAAATAAATAACTCTTGTACAGTTCAGTATTGTCTATTAAATCTGTATTGGCAGTATGTATAATGGCATTTGCTATGGTTATAAAATACTTCCTCTGGATTATAATAATCATTTGATCCAATTCCTATTGCTTGTAAAATAAAGTTTTACCAGTTGATATAATAAAGCTTGCTAAAATAGGATTTTTTACAAATTTAATTTCAAAGTGCAAGTTTTAGAGAAAAAATTTAAATTGTAAATGTTGATGGTAAGTATAACTTACTCAGTTAACGACATATTTTGGATATAAAATTCATTGAAGGTGAGTTAGGCTCACAAATCACAATTTTTAACAATAGAACTTAATATATTTGAGAAATAATGCAATTTGTTTACATTTTTTCCTAATGACTAAACTCAATAAAAATTTTTTATTAAGGTTAGGGATTTGCAAGAAGGGTGTTTCTGCATGCATGTATTTTAGGGAGCTCCAAATGAGCGGGATGTAGTTAAATGTAGATAGTCCATTTAGCTTTGAAAATGAAAAGAACTGGTTAAGTAACAGGACTGTTAGCTCTTATCTGTTTTTTTATAATTCATTCTGCAAATTGAGCACTTTTTCCTTCTCCACTTCCCAGCTATATGAAAGTGCTGAAAGCATGGTGTAGCAAACAGGAATTTTAAAAGGCTTTCAATTTTGGGGTGTTCCAGTCCCTGCTGGGGATTGAAGTTTGAGCACTCCTTTAGATTATACCCAGCAATGCTATTTTTAAAGATGGGAAAGATTTTTAAAGGGGTGAAAGTTAATCATATTTTATGTTCCTGAAAAAATGATAAGATTACTGATCCTGAAATATGGTCTTCAGTTACCAATGTGAACTTTTAAGACAAAACGATATCCACCCTCCTAAGATTTAGCAGTTGGAAGTATATAAAGTAATTATTGAGAAATTCTAGAAATCCGCATAACCACAGTTCATGTTAGGTAAAATTAAAGCATAATCTTTTTTAGTACTAACAAATAAAAAAATAGTTGCTCTTACTACAACTCATCTGGGGAAAGGTAAAAGGCAACAAGACTATTTGTCACTTAGGATTTCAGTAAATATAACGAATATCAAAGATTGTCTTCCTAGCAAGTGGGCAAGAGTTCCTTAGGTTTGATATGCGAAGGACTGGATATAGTGTTAGAATTCTGTACCTCACTAATTAATAGGGAAGGGCTTCTCAGAAAGGGATTCTCAAAGAGTTATAAATTGGAAGTCTTAAGAAAGTCCTCAAAGCAAGTCTTTGATGGCAAACAGATGAAAGTTGGAATGCACCATCCAATGGAAATATAAATATACAAGCCACATAATTTTAAAACATTTTCAGTAAGCACATTTTTAAAGAAGGAACAAGTGATTATGTATCCAAAATATTTAAGTGTGTGAATCAATATGAATATTATTGAGAGATTCTTTTTTCTTATCAAGGTTTTGAAATTCACTTACATCTCAATTTGGACCGGCCACATTCAAGTGCTCATTGGTTCGGTGTGGCTACCATATGGGAGAGCACAGGTCGAGAATTAGAGAATGAGTCAAGGAGTAGGACTGTTGGGATGCAGACTGTCTGCAAAGGGAAGCTTCCATAATCAATCCATGAGCTTCAAGGGTTTAGATTCTGAGCCAATGCTGACATTAAAATTTCAAACCTTTTAAACATAGGGCAGTGAGATTCTGAATGGACTTGTTATGGGCTGAAAGTTGTGTCCCCACCTCCAAAAGTTGGGGTAATTAAGTTAAAATAAGGCTGTTAGGGTAGACACGAATCCAGTCTGACCAGTGTCCTTATAAGAGAAAAGAAATGGACACACTGAGAGACACCAGGGACACACACATGGAGTAAAGACCATGTTAGGACACAACAAGGTGAAGCTGGCCACCTGAAGCTGTAGGAAAGAGGCCTCAGAAAACAACCCCCCCCCCCCCCCAAAAAAAAGAGGAGGAAGACACCAAACCTGTCAGTACCTTGATTTTGGACTTTAGCCTCAAGAACTGTGAGAAAATTCTGTTGCTTAAGCTCCCAGTCTGTAGTATTTTATCATGGCTGCCCTAGCAAAGTATCACAGGAATCCTGGGTAAGAATTGAAAAACTGTCTGTCCATATCTTACGATGTAAAGAATTTTACATGCTTGGTTTTTCTCTCCCCTCAATGGGAAAAGAGACTGCATTCTAGCTTGAGAATTTTGTTGTTGTTATTGTCACCCAAGAAAAGGGAAACAATAGTGTAAAAATTAGAAAGATAGATTATAACTCTATATTAATTCTTGATTAAGAGAATAATAATTCTTGATTATTAATGAATTAAGAGAAAAAGAACTTTGGAACACAAATGGTAAAAATACTATCTGAAAATACTATGTGATGATATGTCCAAATT